GGCATTTTGGACGATGCACTGAGAATTCCTTGGAGAAGCGTGAGAAACAATGGCGGAGGTCTTCGATCGAATCACGGCGACAATTATTATATTATTATTATTTTATTATATTATTATTATATTATTATATTATTATTATAAGTTATATATTTTGTAATGAAAGAAAAACATCGTGAAGTTGTATATTTCACTAAATTATCAATTTCGATATATCGATCTCTTCGAAATATCGATGACAAAGGACATTGATATTTTCTATCGATATATCGAAATTATTGAAATCGATGCATCGTTGGGATAGTGTCGCACAAGGAAAGATATTCTCATATTTGCTAGTGTTATTGCATTTGCAATTTATTTATCGAGAATGAGAAATAATAAGTGTAAAATAAAAGGACACGTGTTCGATTCTTTGATCCTTAAACTTTAAAAAAAATATTAAAAAAGTGTGCGTGTACTATTAAAGCAATATGCGACTAATATCGAGATACTATAGTTCAGGTAATTAGAGAAAGGGGGCGACAAGTAGAGAAAAAAATTCACGTTCCGATGATTACGTAACACGAATCACGGTACATGTTTGCGACGGCTCGTCAGAATGAAAGGGACGCATGTGACGAGCAACGACCGGAACTCTCTCGAGGACAGTGGCACTGAACTTGAGAGAGAAAGAAGAGAACGTAACGCAAGTAAAGGAAACAGACATCGAAACGTGTCGCTGTGAAAACTCGTATAATCATGAATTGCCTTCCGTGACTAATGACTGGGATTGGATTTTAGCAGCGGGCCGCTGATACCTAAGAACATGAGCGTGCCGATGATAATGATCATGATCTGTACGATAGCATTGACTGGATACAAGGTACAGAAAATCGTTTCTTGCTTTCATTGTGCAATTAAACGTTATATTTTTTAAGTATAATATTTATAGAAATTATTTTGCAAAATTATTATATTTTATAGGAAATTTCATATTCTCTCTGGTAATAATAAAATTTATCGATTTATACAATATTTATTACTTTTAACGATTTCTCATATTATTATTAGTTTATTATGAATATATGACTTTTTGTATCAAAAATGAATATATATTTATAATATCGAGATGCATGACGGTTTGAATATTAATTATCGTTCATTAATTCGTGAAAATAATTGTATATGCTAACTTGCAATTTCTTTATTAGTTGAAATAAATAAATATAATGATTACATTTACTGTTAATATATTTCGAATTTCTCTCGAATTTCTATTTATTTAATTTTGTTGTAAAAATATCCATTTCATATTTCATTTTTAGAAATAGTAACAAATTTTCAGATTATTAATATTAATTTTTAAATTTATAATACTTATATAGCATATTTTCATATGAAATTTTTTAAATTTATTCGTTTGATGTTTTTATTTATATCTATTAAATCAAAATCAAAATCTAAAAATCAAAATAATATTTCATATTTCTTTTCTCTCTATTTTATGTTTTATAAATATAAAGAACTCACATGAAAATTTTGTTTTGATCTTTGCTCTATTGTTTATTACTCAGAGAGCAAAAATATTCATATTATAGGATCCAGTGTCATTGAATTACTGCACCGTTTTCATACCTGTGTCACAAGTTGTTATACCGTTAACGCTCAATCAATTTACGAATAGACGAAACTAAACAGGAAAAATGGTTTTTATATAATTGAGATATAAATTGAAAAGCTAGTTGATCAATAGATTTGTTATATTGAAAATCAAAATTTTATAAAGAAATGGTATTACGTCAGAAAGAAGTAATTTAAAATAAATTTAAAATAAACAGGCTAATGCTATTAGAATATCGTATAAATTATATTTTATAACTATAATAATTTCGATAAATAATATAATAAATAATAAATAATAAATTATAATCAACAATATAATTAGATGCGTTCTTCATAAGTTACACTTTTGAATGAAAATATACTATTTTGAAAGGTTAATAAATAATTAATAGGTTAATAACTTTAAAATAAGTAGATGACAAGATTATATATTTGTTTTAAATTCTCATTATGTCAAAGTGAATAATATGAATAATAAGAGATATCGTCAAAATCGAAATTAATCGAAATTACGATGAAAATCTCTTTTCTAAGAATCAGTTTAGAAGAAAGCTTTTCTTCATGTAAACGTTCGAATTGCGCGTGCGTATTTCAGGTGTAACTATGACAGAAGAGCGCGTGCGTGCACCTCGTAACACGCAAGCACAACGAAGACACGTCTTTAGATCCCGTACACTTCCCGCAGTAGCGTGCCAGCTTGACCAATTAAGGGCCTCTTCCGTCGAGACCTCTTAATGGTGGATGTGTTGCGTTCGCTCGAGCGTGCGCGCAACTAAGAACCAGCCCTCGTAACAATGTAATTTTCCGTAGCCGTTCCACTTCGGATCGTCTGGTTATTCGACGTTCAATGCGCTCTTCTCTCCGC